AAAAAAAAAAAAAAAAAATTGTGTAATAGAAATATGTGAGATATATCTTTATTCCTTTTTTTTTTTTTTACTTTAATAAAATCCTCTCACGTTTACAGTCTATTTTTCTAAGCATTTTACATGAATTGTCTCCTTGGATTCTCAAGACCCTCACAGGGAGACACAATAGGTATCATCACCTTCATTTTACATTCATTAATTTATATTTCTTGAACATATCTATTAAGTGCCTAGTGTCATGCTAAGCAAAACTGAGATAGTCTTATCCATATGAAGTTTACAATACAGAGGCAAAGATAAACAATAAACAAGAAAATAACAGCAAATAATAAATTGTATTAAGTGCTATGAGGTAAACAGGGTGTTGTGACAAAGAAAATAGGGAGAATCTTTTAAAAAGTAACATTTGAGACATGAAAGATGAGATGAAACAACTTAGAAGTGGAACATCTATCTAGAGAAGACAGAAGGAAAAATGTATGAGTAGGGCTTAAGATGAGGGACAGCTTAAGGTTACTTTGGTCAGATGTTACTCATTTCAAATCACTTCTGTATTTTAAAGTATTAAGTCAAGCAGCAAAGATATCTTAAAACACCATCAAAACAGAAGAACTTATACACATAATAGACATTTTTTTACTTCATTTCCACAGCAAAAGCTTGGTAGAATGCATGACTTTGAGTCCTCTAAACCTGAGTTCAAATTCTAGCTGTGCCACTTACTAACCCTAGAACTTCAGACAAGTCAACATCTCTAAGCCTCAGTTTCCTCATCTGCAAAATGATGGCATGATACATCTAATAAGATCATTGTGAGGATAAAATAGCATAACACATGTAAAGCACCTGATGCAAAATCTGGACTACAGAAGTTACACAACAAACATTAGCTCTCCTTTCCTATCTTTGCATAATCCAATGCACTAGTTGTCAAACATCAGCTTGTATTAGAATCAACTGAATGGCTTGGGCTTCACCTCCAGAGTTTCTGATTGAGGTCTGGGAAGGCCTGATTATGTATATTTGTAATAAGTTCCAAGGAGATGTTGATGCTAGTGGTTTGGGAGCCATATTTTTTAAAAACATTAATCTAACGGAGCTAATTGCCTATGTATCCAGTAGCTTTTCCAGTAATATCAGAAATGAATATACTTTTCTCTAAAACTCCTGGGAATCCAATATGCACAAAGGCAGCCAAAGCTGAAAGTCAATGAGTTACCATGTGGAGACAGCAAATCGTCATGAGTCCTAGGAATCCCTGTGCTGGGGATGCCATGAATGCAAACTCTGTCCAGCCCATTTCACAGGGTTGTGTTTGGAGCAAGCAACCTTGAGGGTTGAGGTAATCCTTCTCTCTGGAAAGAGTAGGCTTGCTTCCACTTACTATAAAAATAGTAAGACTCCCTAAGTTCAGTGTTCCTGTTCTTTAACGTAATCTACTTTATGCACATATTCATCATGATGGGCCTTTTTTTTTTTTTTTTTTTCCTCCCGAGACTGAGTCTTGCTCTGTCTCCCAGGCTGGAGCGCAGTGATGCAATCTTGGCTCACTGCAACCTCTGCCTCCCGGGTTCCAGCGATTCTCCCGCCTCAGCCTCCCGAGTAGCTGGGACTACGTTATCCCCTCTAGGACTCAGGGACAGAGTTGCTAGATTTAGCGAATAAAATACAAACAAAAATAAGTTTGTTCTATGCAATATGTGGGGCAAACTTACACTAAAATGTGTTTTGTTGTTTATCTTAAAGTTAAATTTAACTGGGCATCCTGTATTTTATCTGGCAACTCTACTTGGTAGGTACAGGGAACCAACCCGCCAACACATGACTGGCTACCGCTTTTGCTGTAATGTAGTCTCTGATCAGAAGTTTTGTGTATTTTGCCAGCATCCATGAAATTGTAACAGCTAACTTGTTACCTTGTAAGAAAGATAAAAACCCCAGACTCTTCACAATTTTTGACAAACTATAGCACTGTAACCAACCTAAATGAGCTACCTGGAGCAACTTGAGTCACCTGAAGCAACCTCCTCAGTTCCATTACCACCTTGCTCTACCACCTAACCTAATCAAAAACAGGCATTTGTTTCACACTAAGTATCTTCCTGAGCAATAAATAACAAAGAAATCCAATTTATTTTACATAATATTCTTCATATATGAGCTTTCATACTCAGATATATGTCAAATCTTCCTCAATTAATTTAAAAGATTAATGTAATATCAATAAAAATCTCAACAGATTTTCTTTTTTTAACCAGAAAAATGGTTCTCAAGTTCTTCTGGGAAAGTTAACAGATAACAATAAACATTTTGTGAAACAGAGAAATGAATATGTATTAGGTGTAAATTTTTCCCTCTGTATTTGAATAGGTATTTGCAGAAAAAACGATTTACCTCCTTACCTAGAATAATATACACATGTACCCCATATAAAATCCAGAGGGATTCGAGTTTTATATGTTAACCAGGAAAAGGAAAAGAAAAAAATAGATGCTATTTGATTACTAGCAAAAGAATGGCTTTCTCAAATTAGTAACTGACATATCTGAATGTGTAAAATTAAAGTCATATATGAAAATAAAAACAAAATTAAAAGATAAAACAAACTGTAAAATGCTAGCAACAGAGATCACAAAAAGGGTGATCATCTATAAAGAGCTCTTAAAAATTGAAAACCACCAAGACCCCAGTAAATAAATGTACACAGAATATAAACATTCAATTCACAAGTGAAGAAATCGAAACAGCTAACAAATGTGGTTTTTAAAGTATTAATTTCAGAAATATATAAATGCAAAATAAAGAGATGCCACCTTTCACTTATCAGAAAATGCTCAAAACGTAGTAACGGTGCAAGGTGACAGGGACTAGCTAAAAAGCCACTGGGGATATAAACTGAAATAATTTCTGGCAAGTAATTTGGGAATGCATATGAAAAGTCTTAATTTTCAACTCATTCATCTTCCCTTCCAGGAAATTATCTAAAGGAAACAGCCGGAAAGCATGGGAAAATATTTTATGTGCAAAAATGTTCCTCTATCATTTATAATGGGAAATTTAGAAACAATCTAAATATTTAATATAAGGGCAATGGCTAAATAAAACATGTTGTGTCTTTTTGGTAATGTATTATCATTTTTTTAAAAGGATCTTTATAAAATGTTTAATCATGTGGCCAGATGCTTGGGATGTAAGTTTAATACAAACATGCAGAATTTTAAACTGTATATACAGGATGATTTCAAGCATTAAAAAAATACAGCAAAATCCTGGAGATAAAATTTCATGTGGTGGGGTTATGATCATTATTTTCTTTTGTTTAATAGTTTCCTATATTTTTAGAATTAGCATATATTAAATATACAATGGGGAAGATGGGGATAGAAAAAGTCATACTGTCATTTTAAATGGAAGTGATTCAGTAAGAGGTGCTGGCAACTTTTAAAATCATATATAATAATAATTTCCTAAGGACCAAGGAAATAGGCCTGAGTATTCTTAGTCTTCCTTGCAGTTCTGAAGGCCCATAAAAGGAGTTTTATACAGTAGATGGTAGTAGTACTGTGATTTCTAGGAATTAATGATGATTTGAAAGTGGAGAGCTGTGGTAAGAGAGAAAATGTAGTGCTTTACAAAATGTTATTTGGGGACCGTAACTTAAACTTGTTTCACTGTTGGCATACATGGTATAGACTTAGAAACACATCAGAAAATAATGTTATTTCCAACAACTATACCATCACCAGAGACAAGATATAAATTTACTTAGATATTAGGTCCTTATATATTCATTGAGGTGCAGCAGCACGATTATATTAGGTCTTTATTTAAAATATTCTTAGTCTATTCTCTCAGTAGAATTTCCTCTATAATTATCTAGTTATTTTCATCTGAACAGGAGACTACTGCCATTCTTAAAATTTTCACTTACCTCTTAGTTCTGGCATCATGAGTTTCTAAGAAATGTCTTTGTGCCTCATGTTTAGAATGATGGTCAGCAGCTAAAGCAATATCAACCGTAATAAGTCCTAAATTGGCTGACCCAGCTTCAAGCCAATAGGCCCTCCGTAGCACTGCAGGCTGAAGTCCAATTCTACAATTATTTAATTGCTCAATGTACTGTCTCACTTGAAAATCTTGAATTGCAGCACTGATTCCTTCCCCAACCGATTGATTGTGGAGATTACAGTTTGCAACTCGAATTGCACCCATCTAAAATTGAATGAAGAAAATTAAATGAAAGTGTAATTTCTGTATTCTTAAGTAGCTTAGCCAAAACTACTGAATAGGTGATGATTTCAAATAGAGTAAAACATAAATGGAAGGAGAACATAAAGGAAAAAGAAATAAAAAAGGAAAAAAATGGGAAAGGGACAAGAAGGGAACAGAAAAGTTAAACAAAATAAAAACAAAAATAGACAATTTTTTAAAAAGAGGATAAAAGGAAAAAGGCAGAAGTCCACAGGCGAACAAAAGAAGTAAATAATGAAATCATAGAAACTTAACAAGGCTTGATTTTAAACTACAATCCATAAAAGAGTGGGAAACAAATGTTTTCAGGAGCCAGGCAGAAAATATAAATGTATGAATCCTAAAGACATTCAAAAATCACATCATTTAAAAGCACTACCAGTTTACATCCCTGATATAAAAGCAACCTACTATTTTATATCCCTGCCATAAAACAGTGTTATAATAACTCAGTTAGAGTAAATAACTGGTGAAAGTATGCCTTAAAAAAAAAATACTGGAAGAGAACATGGATGAGTAAAAATTAGAACGCTTTCTCCTAAAATTATGTGGCAGTCTGTGAGATGATAAACTATAAGTGTGTGTTTTAGTTCAAGAAATAGAGGTTTGGTTTAGTAAAAAGGAAAAAGCACTACACTGGCCAAGCAAAACACTTACCTTTATATTTGTAGCACAACCATGCTCAACAATATAAATATCGGCTCCATCTACTGCTAAACGAGTCATAGTATATTTCAAATCATCTGAAGTTGGACAAGGCCCAGGAATACAACTCAACTAAAATAAAAAAGGATTGTACATCTAAATCATCACCATCAACTTATTATTTTGACAGTTAAGTCGTCTTCTTTAAATAAACACAAAAAAATTTAGTTATTGATGTATTTTTTAAAAATCTAATTTCATTCTTTTACAGTAAATGAAATCAGCAGTTAAAGTGTTATCAATTAGAAAACTATACATTAGAAAACAATAAGTAAGCATGCACCATTTTCATTCAGAAGAGGCAAGTAGCAAGTCTAAAAGACAATACATATACAACTTCTTACTGAAACTCAGAGAGGATAAGCAAAGTAAAGTGATAAGTAAACAGTGTCACAGGTTTACAAGAATTGTATGAGTTTAGAGTTGTAAGGTTTTCTTACAGGTACTCCATACACACAGATGTATTTTCACACACACACATACACAAATATATTCACTGTAAATATTACAATATCTAAGATAATCCATATTAATTTTATTTTACACCTAAAACACAGATTTTTATGATGTTTACGTTAGAAGAAAATGTATGTATCACCTACATCAATAAACTTCTTGAGGAGACGGCAGCCCTGAGTAAATTATTGGCCCAACAGCATGAAAATGCTCATTAGTGGCACAGCCAGAACTAGAAACAGGTGTCTTACAGTGTAGTCAATACTCTATAAGGATATATTTCCTCTAGACAAAAATAGACCTAAACAAACTAAAGTGGCAGAATGGAGATCAGTAGTTGCCTGAGGTAGGGGCTGACAGCAAAGACACACAAAGAAATTTTCTAAGGTGATAGAAATGTTCTATATCTTCATTGGTGATAATAGTTACACAAGTATATACAGCATTTGTCAAAGCTCAAACTGCACAACTTTAAAAGGATGAATTTACTGTATGTAAATTATGCCTCAATTAAACTTATTTTTAAAAATTTTAGGGCCTGGCGCGGTGGCTCACGCCTGTAATCCCAGCACTGTGGGAGGTCGAGACAGGCAGAACACGAGGTCAGGAGATCGAGAGTCTCATCCTGCCTAACAGGGTGAAACCCCATCTCTACTAAAAATATACAAAATTAGCCAGGTGTGGTGGTAGGTGCCTGTAGTCCCAGCTACTTGGGAGGCTGAGGCAGGAGAATGGCGTGAACCCAGAAGGCGGAGCTTGCAGTGAGCCGAGATGGCGCCACTGCACTCCAGCCTGGGAGACAGAGCGAGACTCTGTCAAAAAAAAAAAAAAAAAAAAAGAAAAGAAAAAGGAGGGGGAGGCACCTAAAGGTATATTTGTATTATCCATAAAAAACTGCCTGCCTGACCTATGACTAAGGAACCAATTCTGTGGAGCCTGGCAATGTGTTTACAATAAGAAAAAAAATAATTTTAATCACCAAATATAGCTGTTTCCTTCAATTCAATATATAAGCATGCATTACAGATTTTTTTGGACGGAAAAGTAGGATGAACTACTTTCAATTCACAGTAATATAACACCAAACAAATATAATTTGTATAGCAGAAGAACAAAAAAGGAAAGACACATATGGGAAAGAACTAGAAAGAAAAACAAAGCTGTTAACCACTGTGTTGTAGAACCAGGGTAAGTTATTTTTCTTTTTTGAAACAGCCATGCTTTCCAGATTTTCTGAAATAACCACGCTTCCAAAATCAGGGGGAGAAAATGCCTCCCTCCCCAAATTCATAAGAGAGAGTATTTATTGCACAATAATACTATGCATTTCATTGCCACTGCACGCGGTTTTAGGGATTACCATCTACTTTTTGCAATCCTTGTGAAGATATTGTAATGACCCTTAATGAAGGTGGCACAATGTTGTGAAAAGAGCATAACATGTGGTGTCAGGAAACCTGGCAAATGACCAACCTTGCTATTACATTATGGGAGAAATGGCATGTCCAGAGTGGTCTGCAAACCATGTCATGTGAAGAATTCAACCTTCTCCTTGTTTCAATTTCTAAATCTTCTACATAAATATATAGCCACATCCCAATAATGCAATATGACATGAATGTTAACAGCAAAAATGTAAGCAAAATATAATTTTTATAATTCTGTTTATTTTTTAATTTGTATGTTTTAATAATTATCTCATATTTTAGATACTTTAAAATGGCCAAGAATTTTAAAAATAATTTTATTAACTGAAAAAACTGCAGTTTGCTTCAAGGCTACGTGTAGTTGACTTGAAGATGATATCTCAATATTCCATTTTGAAAAATTCATAAATGTTTATAATATTGCTAACATATTTGTTAACATACCTTGGACTCACAGAACCGACGATCAATTCCATGCTGACATATTATTACTGATTTTGGTCTTTCCAGTTCATACTCCCGACATACCACATGAAAAACAAATGTCTGTCCCCACTCCAAGAGGCATGCCAGCTACAGATAATCAGTGACAAGTTGACAACACTGTTAGCATTCTAAATAAGTGTTCAGAGTTTAAAAGCTTCTGAAGAATGTTAATATGGCTTGGAAGAACCCAAACACTGTCTTAAAACTTCTGCAAAATAAGCAACTTGTTAGCCAATGATTTTTGCTACCTTTAATATCATTTATATGCTTATGTTACTTTTCCTTTATGAATGACAAAATGCACTGCCAAAATGAAAACTCATTTCAACTGAAAAATTTCACTTCAGCAACTTTTAAAGAAAATCCTTTTATCCAAGGTTATATATCTTTCCTGTTACATAGCTAACTGAAATCTCCACATAGAAAATCACCTAAAATTCTCTAATCATAAACCAAACTTTTATGTGAGAAAGTATCTAAATATCACATTGAGCTACAATTTTTAAAAACCAGGTATTTTGAAGATTAAAGCACTTTCGTTTATGTAAATAGAAGCTTAAGTAAGCATATATTATAATTCTTCAAATCTTCAGTTTAAAAAAAAAAAACAAACCTTAATTTTATAATTGATTAGAGCTGTTAAAAACATTGAGAGATAGATATACATGGCATTATCCCCCCAAATAAGTACATAATTTAAACACTTGGAAAATATAAATTTTACTTTTAAAACATACAGAGAATGGAATAAACATAAAAGTGCCTACAGATTCATGAACTGTACAGAAAACAGTGATGCCGAGATTTTATGCAAAAGAAAGAGAAATGTTTCACCTTATAAACGCAATTTATAAACATGTAAGATTCCAGCAGTCCTTAGAACAAAGGAATTGTACCAGCATGGCTTTATTCCCTTCTTAGGGAACAAGCTGCTTTGGAATATGCTTCAGTTTTCACTTGTATACTTAGGGATGGGAAATGGGAGATAATAAGGAGAGGACAGTTACAAGGCCAGTGAGCAATGACTATTGCTTTTCATCCATTTTTATACATTCCATTATGCATTTCTTTTCACATATTTTTATAAATATCATTATACATTCTAGTATTATATTGAGATGACATTCAACTCCAAAATATCCCTTTTCAATTCCATTCATTTTCCCACCATTTCTAGAATATTAATTTTTGCTACCCTCTGACGATTTCTTCCAGGTATACAGGGCATCTAGGTTCTTCATCACTTTCTTGTTGCTACTACATACCTCTAAATTATATGTTTTATACCCATTCTATAACTTTTTATCAAAATTGAGTATGTAACATTCCTATCAAATTCGTCTTTTGAAATATCAAGATGAACATTCATATTATAATAAATATATGACTCAGGTGAAACATTAAAATAATATGGCAATTCAACTAAACTTCAGTGGCCAATTAGAAACAAATAATATTATTAAGGCTTTTGTGCCTTCTAAGGATTAAGTAAAAGGGGTGGTGGGAGAGAATTTATCCAAAAGCATCATACCTAGAATTCTAGACCAGATTTACTTACCAGTAAATTCACTTCTATTTTTTGAAACTATTATAAACATCACTAACAGCAGGTACAAATGATGTAACCTTGCTTTGGGACATGACGAGCAAAGAACCTCATTACCTAATCCTTAGCATCATAAGAGCTACTTTCAAATCCTACTTAAGAAATATGTAAGAAAACAAAGTTCTTAAAAAATTACTCCATATAGTAGAAAAATAAGATTTTTTCCAACAATGGAGGGCCAAGTAACATAATTTTAATATTACATTAAATTCACTTCTAGAACAGTACTCATCCTGAGTTTTTCCCAAAGAAAGTCTCCAATTCTTGGAAATATTACATAGAACTACATACATTACACCCAACAAATTATATGTGGCTCAGAAAATTGAAACTTGTCTCTGACTCACCTATAACTAAAATTCTGAATGGCAAGAATGACTCCCATCAGAATGCCATCAGTGGAAATGCAATGAACATTCAAACAGGCATACAAGTTATTCTTGAGAAGGTGGATAAAGAAAGGAAAAAGAAAATAAGTCAGGAGATAGTACTCTGAAAACCATACCTGTGGTGCTGTGACCTTAGCTGTAAGACTTCCAGCCTGCACATCAATTAACCATGCGTATTCTAAGGAATCACTTCCCAAAGGAAGACCTTCTGCTGAGAACATAGCGTGTGCTCTCAGCTGGAGACCTGACAAATTGATGTGACCTTCCCTGAGTACTTCATCCACAGGGGGTCGCTGCTGAAAACAATAATGATGAGACCGTAAAACGTATAAGAAAATCATATTATAAATTCTAGTTGTTTCCCCCGACACCCCCTGCAGAGATGAACAATCAAATCATGCCATCTATAAGGCTTCAGAATCCACAAGCTCCTAACACAACCTTGTACCCATAGAGGTAGTCTGAGTTAAGCATCTTTAATGAACAATATCTATGAGAGCCCAACTATTATAAAAAGCAAGATAGCTGAGTCCTAAAAAGTAGACAGATCTCTGATTGGCAACTGCCTTTATGAATAACAAGAAACTACAGTAGTACTCTGACAGGAAATACAAGAGACCAATCTTTTGTAGGAAATCTAATCGTGAGATTAAAATATTTTTTAAAAGGAAGGTAACATTGAAGAACATGGACTGTTAAGACCAAAAAATGAAGAATGGTGCTGAAAAGAAAACTTCCATACAGATTCTGAGGACTATGTAAATACAAGGATAGTTTTATCTTACAGAGAATAATTTCACACTCACTACTAAAAAGCCGCATGTATTTCAAAGGGAAAATTTCTAACATATTCAGAGAAATAAAGTATATGTCATAAAACAGATTATTTCATGGAACACTAGTTCCACACATTAAGAATAAAGAATCAAATAAGTCTGGAAATACCCTACTGATCAGCCACCAATTTCTGTTAAATCTACCTCCCAGTCTCTCATAAATGCATTGACTTTTTTTCATCTTCAGTGCTCTCATCCTGGTCCAAACAGTATCACCTCTTGCCAGGACCTTTTCAAGGTATTAACTTTTTACATCTCTCTGCTCCATACTCTATCAGTAGTCACAGAGATCTTCTAAACATATGACTCTGATCCTGTTCTTGCCTCCAGACCATTAAATGCTACCAGAGCACTGCCTACCTCACCTTGTGGCACATTTTACACTTGAAATTATTAATCTTAATTTTAATATTCACAATATTTACCTTCTCCCCCAGGTCCATTAATGACCATTTCTGTCTTATGCACCAAGTATCACTGCACCTAACAGTGACCACAAAAAGTAGATGCTGCTGACTAGACAGATTTCTTCACAGCAAGTGTTCACAGAGTCTTCAATATACCAAGATACACTGAGGCAGTTCACAGATTATTTCCCAACCTAGTTTTATTACAGTATTCCTCTTCATGTATGTCTAGGCTACCTCACAGGGTTAGTGTTCCTTGCTTTCAACATATGTTGGGAAACAGTCTTAAAAAAATTTTTTTAAGGATAAGGGCTAACTCTAATTCGTAAGGGCTAACTCTAATTCGTAAGAAACTTTTTTTAAAAAAATTCAAATTGAGACTACAATAATCACTCTAGAAGCTCTTCTGATCCAATTTTTCATTTAATTTTCATCCAAGCTATGTGACTTTATATAAAATCACCTGACTTCTCCAGGCATTAATTTCCTTACCTTTTTTACTGAGAGAACTAGGGAAGGTGGTCAAGAAAGTTATCTTCTGACACTGAGACTCAATAATTCTCAGTATAAAATTTTTATGAAATTTTTTAATCTCAAAATTACATGTGGATCTTGGGCTTTCCTAAGGTACAGCCTACATGATACACCAATAAACATTATATTCTAAATTTTATTGCAGTTTGCATCATGTGTGGGTTGAACGGCGTCCCTCAAAAAATATATGTTCAGGTCTGAAGCCCTGGAACCTATGAATATGAAAACAGGACTTTTTTTGAAACAGGATTTTTGCAGATATAATTAGGTTATGGTAAGTTTACACTGAGGGTAGGCCCTAATCCAATATGACTGGTACCCCTGTAAGAGGAGAAAAAGTAGGACACACAGGCACAGAGAGAGAGTGGCAGCCAGTTGAGATGGAGGCAGAAATTTGAGTGATTCATCTACAAGCCAAGGAATACCAGGGATTACTGGCAACCACCAGAGCCTAAGAAGAGGCAAGGAAGGATCTTCCCCTACAACTCAGACAGACTGTGACCCTGCCAACAGGACTTTGCACCTCCAGAACTGTGAGAGAATACATTTCTGTTCTTTTATGTCACCTAGTGTAGGATACTTTGTTATGGCAGCCCTATGAAACTAATACATAAGATGACCACAAAGTAAAAAGTGCATAGTTTCATAATGGGACACAGTAGTCCATCAGTCACCTTAGATCCTTCGTCCTGAAGCCTTAAGACTGTTGCTACCCAGGATAAACTACAAGTGGGTAACCCAGATTTGAGCCTTGGAAGTAGACAAAGTGTGAACCCTCTCACTGTGAAAGAACATTAGATAGTATAATGACAGATGAAGAAAAAAATTCTTAGGAATAGTTTTGTCAACACTATAGAACATAAACAAGGTAAGCAGACAAGCAAATTCCAAGAGGATATATATGGTACCTTTGTCTTTGGGGTAAGTTGTCAACCATCTAGGAAATGAATTATCACTAGTGCTTCTACTTCCACCTTGATATCTCTACTTCATGAACTCCTTCTCTAATCCCCAAATAAGTCATACTTTATAATTCAGTCTCTCTACAAGTTTGCCATACCTCTATAATAAGAATTAATGTGAATATTCATAATCAACTCAATAAAATGTTTTCTACGTCTGGAAAAGTCTTTTAAAAGTACAGTGATTAAAAGTTGAAGTGTTACCAGGTACTCATAAAAAACCAGGGATAGTCATCTACGATTCTCAGAACTTATCCATAGAAGACTTTCCCTTTTCCCTTTATTAATTTCCTTAATAGACTGAAAAAGGGAGATGGGCTTCCTCTCCACACATCTGCCTCCCAGAATAAAAAACAACTGATTCTAGTGACCCACTAATTATAGAGAGGAGGACAAGAGTTTTTTTTAAGGTTAATATGGCAAGTTAAAATAGTGTTATGTGAGATCTTTGTGATGATAGAATAGTTCTGTATCTTCATTTTGGTGCTGGTTACATGAATTTACACATGATAAGATGACCTAGAACTATGCACACACATTGTATCAACGTCAGTTTCCTTGTTTTGATACTATAATTATGTAAAATAATTTTACCATGGAAAACAACTGGGTAAAGAGTACACACAGGATCTCTCTGATCTTTGCAACTTCCTGTGAATCTATAATTATTTCAAAATAAAAGTTTAAAACCGGAAACATTCTGTGGCAAAATAAAAACAATGCCTAGCACATATTAAGCCTTAGCTAATATGATCTCATATATGTCAAATATATGTATGAAAAATTAAATTAAAATTCCATGAAGAAAAATATAGTCAGTGATGGCAAAAGAATGAAAAGGAGATATGCTATTTTAAATACAATGATCAGTTACTACATATAATCATAATAAATGATCATTCACTGATGATTTCTGGGTATCAGATTCATCTTCACATTTATAATTTTACTTTCTCTTGTATTACGTTCCATTTATATTTCTAAATCACACAACTTGATTAAAAGTAAGACAGGGCATATAAGGCGGTGGTAGGTGCCACGGAAAGCCATTTGGCTTTTTAAAAAATAATAATAAAATTATAATCTACCCAGAAATGTAATAAATTCTCAAATTCTCACTTGATGAATATCATTGGTTCTCTTTTAAAAGAGCCCAGAGGTATCTTGAAGGAATTAACGAAGTATCTTATGTTAGATGAATAAGTCATTGACTGTGTAGATACACACGTTTTAAAATATTAAATACTTAAAATAATATTTAAAATATAAAAAAAAACTAACATTTATGTTGTGATACTCAACAGAACCTACCAACATTTTATAAAGTTAATTTTTCCCTTCCATAAATATTTGAGAAAGTATTTCCATTTCTATTATAATAGCAAAAGGTATAAAATATAATTGGGATCACAGAAATAGAGACAAGCAAAAGAAAATTGAGGTTCTTGAAACAACTCTCATACACAAAAATATACTTACAAAACTTCTTAATACAGTTAACTTAAAAGTCTCTGACTTAAAGAGCTACAAAGTCCATGCACAGAAGCTAATACATTGTTTTAACCCAATAAATATTAATAGTAAATCTCTGTGTTTCCACCATATTTCATTTTCACCTTACCTGATAGTTATCACTGACAAACACATTCAGGGGTGACAGGATAAGTTGCAGCATGGTCTCCCTAAATCCTTTTTTCATTTCAAAACATAGTCTTTCCAAGAAAGCTGTAGGGCATTCAGGACCATCAGTAGTTCCATGCTACAGTCAAATGAAATGGCATAGTCGAAATACAGAAAAGGCAAAAAGTAAGGAAGTACAGAAAAATAAAAATTACATCTCTCATGATTAAGAGAATTTGCTTTTCAAAACAGAGAAACTACGATTACTGACAAAAATAACTATTCTGTACCTCAGTAGGATCATTAGCTGCACTAAGCAACAGAGGGCCACCCGCCCCCCAACCCCACTGCGACACAGACACACACCTCATCTGTCCCTCCTCCGAAGTCCCTGGGTTCTTGGGGCAATTTAATATCATTCCATGTCAATAAGAACAGGTCCACAGGTTGTCCTTAGAGTGACCCAGGATACTGTGCTAGATCCAAACTACATAATTCAACCCCACGGTCAAGCCAGAAACTTCATTTTGTAACAGATCTACCATAAGGCCCCAAACTGGTCTGGGGTCTAGAGATAAAAGCTAAGAAAATGTAAAGTCCTTGAATACCCATCAGGTTAATTATAAACCCAACAACTCAACGTATGACACAATGTCCTAACGTTACACAGAACAGCAAAGAAGCAGCTAAAGTTAAATTAGAAGAAAAATAGAAAATAAAATCACCAATGATCAAGTAATCATATTATGAAGAAAATACATGAGTTTTGTAACAGTAAAATAATAAATTTAGAAGTTTCTGAATCTGATTTTCTTTTTCTAAGTGTGTGTTGCATGCTTTACATCTATACACAGGTGGATGCCACAATGTATTCCAGACTACTTTGATGTGTAAACACTTACAACAGGAAGACGCCCATGAACTTTGTACAAATTAACAAGTACAGTAATATCCCAAGGACGCAAGGCAAGTGGATGAATTGACTTGGCTGAACCTTCATTTTCCTTTTTGTCATTTTCCATTCCAACAGCAGTCCACCCAGAGCTGGATGATGTTGACAGTGACAAAACAGGACTTGAGATAACCTCTTCAAAATCCATATACATGTCATCTTCCCCAAAGTAGTTTTCCTATAAATATTAAGAAAACGCAAATTACTGTCAGAAGAAGTATGTAAATATATTTTCACCTATGAGCCTAAATTTGTAAATTATGTATTTCCTTAACCTATTATATTTAATAAAAAGGCATCAGCCCTATTGTCTTAAAATACAAAAGAAAACATATGTTAAGGCTTACACATAGTCACTTGGCAAATAAATATTCAGTAGCAAAAAATATAAAAAGTTACAGAAGCCTATTTTATAGTAAAGCTTCATGACATTGCCCCAATTACAGCAAAACCTTGTAATTTAGGTCCTTAGAGACCTTTGAAGGTTTGCATGGTTAAAGAGTTTTCAATCACTGCTTCTCAGAGTTCTCAAGCAATACCTGAGGACATCCTTTGGGGGAAGCAATTCACTAAAAATCAGTCTGGCTAAATTCGATTAGGTAACTAGTACAATTCACATATTCCTGTGGGAATTATTTATCAGGCATGTTTCAACAGCTTTAATAAAAATATCCAATCTTGGTTTTTGATGAGATAAAGGCATGTGTTACCAACAATTATCAAAAATTCCTTTCACATGGTTCATCCTAGTTTTTTATGCAGAAGTGTTTCAACTATTGTTTTCTTTTGCATGAAAATATAAATTTAGCTGGAATTTAAATTATTTTTTCCCATTGATTCTAAATTTAAATTTTGGCCTTTTGATCTGTCAGTAGTAAACAAAAGTTGTTAAATATTCCTGTTAACATTGTTAGCATATCTGTTAAATATTAGAACCAAGACAGGAATTTGGTAAATTCTGCATTTTGATTATTGACAAAGTTATTTTCTGACTAGAGTTATGGACATCAGTACATAATATCATTTCATAGGAAATAATGTCGAAGGGCTTAAAGTCATACAGTTAATTGGTAGGGGGATTAATACCGAAATCCCAAACCTACCAGCTCACAAAACCAGTGCTTTTTCCTCTATTCCCTATTGCCGTCCACCTCCTAAATACAGATGCCACTTGAAACCTGCCTGAAATCTTAATAATTGTCTTTATAATACAATTCTGAAGCATGGACAAATTTATGCACACATATAACAGAAAACACTGGGTTATACTTTAAATTCCAACATTAAATTTTTAAAAATAACATAAATGTCTAATTAAGTTCTATCAACATTAAAAACTTGAAGAGATAAAATAAAAAGCTGGTTCTTTGACAAGATTAAAAAAAATTGATAGACTATTCGTGAGATTAACCAAGAAAAGAAGAGAGAAGATCCAAATAAGCTCAATTAGAAACAAAAATGGAAATATTACAACTGATACCAAAGAAGCACGAAAGATCATTCAAGGCTACTAAGAATAACTTTACGTGAACAAACTGGAAAATCTAGAGGAGATGGATAAATTCCTGGAAATATAAAACCCTCCTAGATTAAACCAGGAAGAAACAGAAACTCTGAACAGACCAATAACAAACAGTGAGAGAGAAAAAGGGATTTTTAAAAGTTGCCAACAACAAAAAAAAGGCCAGAACCACCAGATGGACTCACAGCTGAATTCTATCAGACATTTAAAAAAGAATTGGTACCAATCCTACCAAAACTATTCCAAAAGATAAAGAGGGAATCCTCCCTAAATCGTTCTATGAAGACAGTATCACCCTAATACCAAAACCAGAAAAAGACATAAAAAAAAGAAACTAAAGATCAATATCCCTGCTGAACAAAGATGCAAAAATCCTCAACAAAATACTAGCTAACTGAATCTGAGAGTATATCAAAAAGATAATTCACCATGATCAAGTGGGTTTCACACCACGGATGTAGGCATGAGTCAACAAACGTGATATATCACATAAACAAAATTAGCAACAAAAACCTATTCAACAAATTGTGTAGAATCAATATTGTGAAAATGACCACACTGCCAAAAGCAATCTATGAATTCATGGCAATTTCCATTAAAATACTACTGTAATTCTTCACACCACTAGAAAAAACAATCCTAAAATTCATATGGAATCAAAAAAGAGCCTGCATAGCCAAAGCAAGACTAAGCAACAAAAACAAATCTGGAGGCATCATATTACCTGACTTTAAACCATATACTAGAAGGCTATAGTTACCAAAACAGCAAGGTACTGTTATAAAAACAGGCACGCAGACCAATGGAACAGAATAGAGAAGCCAAAATAAAGCCAAAATAGAGCCAAATACTTGCAGCCAACTGATCATCAACAAAGCATACAAAAACATAAAGTGAGAAAAGTGGGTTTCATAGCAGGGATGCAGGGATGGTTTATACACAAATCAGTAAATGTGATACATCACATAAACAAAATAAGAAACAAAAACCTATTCAACAAATTGTGCTGGGATAATTGGCAAGCCACACATAGAAGAATGAAACTGTATCCTCATCTCTCACCTTATAGAAATATCAACTCAAGATAGATCAAAGACTTAAATCTAAGACCTGAAACCATAAAAATTCTACGATAACATCAGAAAGACTCTTCTAGACATTGGCTTAGGCAAAGAATTCTTCACCAAGAACCCAAAAGCAAATGCAACGAAAACGAAAATAAACAAATGGGACCTAATTAAACTAAAAAGGTTCTGCACAGCAAAAGAAATAATCAGCTGAATAAACAGACAACCCACAGAGTGGGAGAAAATCTTCACAAACTATGCATCTGACCAAGGACTAATATACAGAATCTACAGGGAACTCAAACAAATCAGCAAGGAAAAAAATAATCCCATCTAAAAGTGGGCAAAGGACATGAACAGACATTTCTCAAAAAAAGATACACAAATGGCCAACAAACATATGAAAAATGTTCAACATCACTAATGCTCAGGGAAATGCAATCAAAACCACAACGTGATACCACCTTATAATGCAGGACTGGCCATAATTTAAAAATCAAAAATAATAGATTAAGTTAGTGTGGATGTGGTGAAAAGGGAACACTTTTACACTGCTGGTGGGAATGTGACATAGTACAACCACTATGGAAAATAGTATGGAGATTCACACTAAATGTAGAACTACCATTCGATCCAGCAATCCCACTACTGGCTATTTACCAAAAAGAAAAGAAGTCATTATATGAAAAAGACACTTGCACACTCATGTTCACAGAAGCACAATTCACAATTCAAAAACATGGAACCAACCTTAATGCCCAGCAACCAACGAGTGGATAAAGAAAATGTGGTATGTGTATATATATACACATACATACGTACACACGTATATACCATGGACGACTCCTCAGTCATAAAAAGGAATGAAATAATGGCATTCACAGCAACCTGGATGAAATTGGAGACCATTATTCTAAATGAAGTAACTCATGAATGAAAAACCAAATATCGTATGTTTGCACTCATAAGTGGGGGCTAAGCTGTGAGGACGCAAAGGCATGATATAACAGATTTTGGAGACTCGAGAGGAAGGATGTGGCAGGTGGTGGGGTGAGGGATAAAAGACTACACATTGAGTATAGTGTACACTGCTCAGGTGATGGGTACACCAAAATCTCAGAAATCACCACTGAAGAATTTATCCATGTAACCAAAAACTACCTGTTCCCCAAAACAATTGAAATAAAGTAAACAAACAAAACTTAAAGATGTTCAGAGCAGTAGTTCTCCCCTCCAGAAGCCTTTATGAAATATACATTCCACCCCAGTCCTGATGACTGTTCAGAAAGTTTGCAGTAGGCAGAGTCCAGAGTCAAGTGTAAAGTGGAAAAACTCCTTTGATACTTCCACGTGTAAATGGCCCCCAGAAAAACACCTCTGCCCCACCTTCTCCAAAACAGTTAATCTAAGGACTCAACTCTATTAGGTTTCAGCATACTAACATGCACCAACAAAACAAAACAGTTTACCAGCACTCATTTTAACTCATTTTTAATGATCCTAGCCAACAGATCTCTTATTTTTTAAAAATTCCCTTGTAATCTCTTATAATTGTAAATCTTGAAAAAAATTTAGATTTCTGTAGATTATTACAGTAAAAAGAAAAAAGATTCCCTTGGGTCTAATGTTCAATTTGCTACTAAAGCAATCTCCATTGCTTTTGAAATGGAAATAATTCATATCAAATTCCTTAGGGAACACTGAATGCCCAACATAGCAGAGAACATTTGCTAATTTTTGTTAAATGTGTCAGTGACTTTGCTCTAAAGGAGTTATAAAATACTAGGATTCTTTCATGAGTTAATACATTGGTAGTTACTGAATATCGTCAACAAAATGTACTTTTAAAATTATAACTCCTTTAAGAATTTTGTCTAATGTTAAATGTCTAACGCTGGGTGTGTGACTTAAGGCTTTTTCTTAATTTATGAATTCCAAATCTATTAGTTAATTTCTTAAGAATTAACTGAAAGGCCAGGCGCAGTGGCTCACACCTGTAATCCCAGCACTTTAGGAGGCGCAGGTGGGCAGATCACTTGAGCCCAGGAGTTTGAGACCAGCCTGGGCAACATGGTGAAACCCTGTCTCCACAAAAAATACAAAAATTATCCAGGTATGGTGGCACATGCATGTGGTCTGAGCTACTTGGAAGGCTGAGAGAATCACCTGAGCCCAGGAAGTCAAGGCTGCAGTGAACTGTGACCATGCCACTACCTGGGTGACAAAGTCAGACCCTGTCTCAAAAAAAAAAAAATTTACTGAAAAAAAAAGTTACCAAAAAGGTTGATCAAAGTGTAAGGTAGGTGGTAATACATTATGGCAAACTTTTATGGTACTTTAAGATTAATAAATGTACACAAATATTTACAAATACAAATAAAACTTTCAATTTCATTTTATAATAGATGGCATGCAAAATTAAACTATCTTTAAAATAAATTCTAAACAACCCTAGAAAAAATCCACTGGCTTATAGAACCAAGAAAATGTGTTCTTTTGTCAAATTTGCATCATGTTTGAATTTAAGAATGATAAGCTACATTTCAATTTACTTAAGAATTCTCCAAAATTTTCTTTTCATAATGGTATTTTGATATATGAGTATCTTATCACCTACTTCAAGTAAGAGACTGCAATGTTTTTCCTAGTTAAAAATGTATACTTATCCAATGATGCTCATTTCTCAAAACAGAAAAAAATAACAACAACAGGTGAAAAGATGGCAGCTAATAAAATCAGAGAAACAGTAGGAAAAGTCCACAAGTACTGTTTCCAAAATTACCCTTTTTTAAAAAAAGAAAAATTAATAGCCAGGTTTCTGTTCAAGATTATTAAAATTATTATTATTTTTTTTTTTGAGACAGAGTCTTGCTCTGTCCCCAGGCTGGAGTGCAGTGGCGCGATCTCAGCTCACTGTAAGCTCCATCTCCCGGGTTCACACCATTCTCCTGCCTCAGCCTCCAGAGTAGCTGGGACTACAGGCGTCCGCCACCACGCCCGGCTAATTTTTTTGTATTTTTAGTAGAGACAGGGTTTCACCTCGTTAGCCAGGATGGTCTCGATCTCCTGACCTCGTGATCTGCCCGCCTCAGTCTCCCAAAGTGCTGGGATTACAGGCGTGAGCCACCGTGCCCGGCCTAAAATTATTTTTAATAAGAAAAACATATATGCCATATATACCCTTTCATGCAGTTATTTGCTACCACTGACATGTTATCATTATAAAAAGATTTATTTTCCTTCATTAACAAAAAAATGAAATAAGACTAAGAGAAGTCAAATCAGGAAAGTAATGTAAGTAGTATGGTTATCCAACTTTATATCCACAACAGAAGAAATGACAAAGTTTTAATATGACTGAAATGATTTTGGGCTGACACTCACAGTTACTATATTGTCTACATCTGCAGAAGACCTCCCATTTCCACACATGTCCTCATAAATTTTAATGAATATTCAGTAGATATATTCTTCTTAGAATTATTTATAATGATAATGCCAGGCCTAGTTTCTTCTGTGGATTTTGGAAAGCAGTCTTTCATATACAGTCAAACAAATACAGTGATTTTTTTTTCCTAGTTTATTCTTTATAATTTCTTGATGTTTAATTTTGATTAACTAAAAAAAGACAATCTCGGTTACATGAATTTTTAATTCCCTTAAATTGCCATTTTCTTTTTCATGTATACATGAAAATACATGAACAAGAAAATTTCATATATCAGTTTGAATATGTTATAAAAATAATATATATATTTTTCAACTTCCAAAAAGTTTTAAAGTACTAATACGATACCAAGTAAAATACACGTTATATAACTATATATATGTAAACAAACAGACCAGGCATGGTGGTTCACACCTATAATCCCAGCACTTTGGGAGGCCAAGGCTGGAGGATCGCTTGAGCCCAGGAAGGAGTTTGAGACAAGCCTGGGCAACACAGCAGGACCCAGTCTCTCCAAAAAATAATTTTTTAAAAGTTAGATGGGTGTGGTGGTGCTTGCCTGTAGGCCTAGCTATAAGAGGCTGAGGCAGGAGGATCACTTGAGCCCTGGGGCTCCAGATTACAAAGAGCTATGATTGTGCCACTGCACTCCAGCCTGAGTGACAAAGCCAGACCTGTCTCTTAAAAAACAAAAATAAAACCAGAAACTTAAAGAATTGCATAAATTCCTTATAAAAGGAAGCACAGGGTTAACTGGGCTAAACAAATTTTTTGCCTGTCATATCTTTGATACATATTTAGTAAACATCAAAATTTCAAATTTTACAATTTGCTTTAATAGACATTTTATGCAAGTTCTAAGCTAATTAGATAAATGTAAACACTAATACAATATTTAGGGCAAGACAAACTTTTGAAACTACTAAAAAGTTGTTATAAAGCCTTTAATGCACAAAAGTCTGTATGAAAACAATAATCTATCAGCAATGGCTACATCTGTGGAGTAGAACCTATAAACAAGTCTAAAATGAAAGCATATATTTATTTCACTGTATTCTGTTTTGTTAGAGTCCTCTTATTTTTTTATTACTATCAGTTTTTTTAATAAAAACAAATTGAGGTTCCATGTGTACATAGTAATGCAAAAACGAAAGTTAATACCACTCTAGTAGTATTCAAAAACTGATATTGTATCACTATGACTACCTTCATCTACTAATTAAATCATTACTTATATTTAAGTAAAATATAATGCAGCCTCTTCAGGAAGACTATAGCTTGAAAATTATCTTTTAAATCCTTTATAGTTATTCACATGCAATCCTAAGAAAGTAAGATATTGGGAGAAATATTTGACATACACTTTAGGTCAAATGATGGTCACAAGAAGGAAGAAAGGTGTGTATGTAATCAACAGAAACTCTAGGCATCTACAAATATTAACCACATTTTCCCTTGCATCTTTTATATTAAGTTACATCATCTGATGATTTATGGTAGTTTTTAGTAGATACATTATAATAACTCAAATATTGAGATGCTAGATGCCTTCAAAACCCAGTTCAGCCAGCACTTCCTGCAGAGAGCCTTTACTAACAAACCTTGATCGTGCTTCCCTGACCAATCCTGAACATCCTAGTCCCTCTCTCCAGAATTAATTACTCTTACCGCTGTACGTTACAGGATTCCTTGTCAGCTAGGTATTCAATATCCAAAGTAAATCTGCCAGATCCTTTAAAAATGCAAAATTTCTTAAGTTGTTGAAAGTGATGTGGATAAGTCCTCTAATCACAGGCAAAGGTGATAAGGGAGGATCAGGAAGGATTATAGTAGTTACCATAAAGATTAAATCAACAAGAAATGTTGATAATTTGTTGGGAGCATTTAAAACATATGATTTGAACATCAAAATAAGAGTGATCTCCAGAAAACTGATGAACTCCTCAAATATTTATCCAAAAATAGCCTCTCTTCATAATCATTCTACAGAGATCAACTTTAAAGTGCTGTCATACTGTGCAATCACACAATTTCAGTGGAAAAAAATATACCAAAATGAGTCAACACGATTTGTTCTTTGTTCTAAAAATTAGTGCACATTTATTTAGAACCTAAGTTTGATACACTCTGAAACAAGCATTTTCATATATTTGCTTCAGTTTTTCAAATAAAGCACCAAACAAATATTTATCCATTATTTATCATAAAACGTTGTCACTTATTTTCAATGGACTCACTTGAAGTAGTGTTTTCCATTACCAATTATTCTCAGATATATGTAGTACTTCTATTGCTACATTACTTACAATGTGTGAAAATTTGTCCATACATCTGTCTATCCTAGCTATCCCTCTAGCTCACACCCCTGAGAACAGATGCTATATCATCTTTATCTATAGCAACTAGCATCATTCCTAGAACATACAAAATGCACAAAAGAATGCTGAACTGAGGAGTACTATTTTTAATAAATAATTTTGTAATTGAATCTAGCACCCTAAGTCCAGTCAACATATCTGGTATATCCTCAACATTTTAAATAATCCAATTGGCTATTTCAAATAGTCTCAATTTTCAATTAAATTTTAACTGCTTTGTCTATATTTAAAAGTATGTAAGTTGTTTTTAAGAATCGTACCTTTATACACAAAAAGGCATTTAGTAGAGGTCCATAGAGAGTTATCTGAGAATCTGGAGAAAGTTCCATTTCTACATGAAGTTTATCAGGTGGAAGTTCTGAGGGATCAATAGGTGGGCGTGAAGAAGTGGAGGGAGAAGAAACAACTCTGTCTGATGCCTTCTGGGATGGCCTTAATACGGATAGCATTGTCTCTTCCATTTCTGATACTGTAGTAAATTAAGGAAAAAAAAGATTAATGTTTAGGGGGTGGGGGATAAAAGACCTCTTAGAAGATCTTCAAGGAAATATTCACTAAAAAATTTTACTTTGCAAACATGACATCCACTAATCCTTACATTATGTATATATAATGAAAACAGACCTAAAAGTTAACATAAACAACATTCTTATTGAGTCCCTGCAATATAAATTTGGGTCACATGGAGACCTTAACTATTCTTGGGCACTAAACTACAGAATTTTTTCATATAAACAGCTATTTAAATACAGTGTGATATTATCAAGCCACTATGAAACAACTATGAAAACTATCCTTTGAAACTTAACTCACTGGAAAAATACCAAAAAAAATCATCATTTGGCTCTAATTCTTTTTTGGACCCAGGTAATAAGGCAAATTACATTCAGGAAACTATAAACTATAATGAGAACTGTCAAAATGCATTAAAGAAACTAACGTTTCACAAAATCATGCACTTAAATATGCAGATTCACACAAATCTTGTTTCACATCCAGGCTCTACTGCTTCTAGCTTGGCAAACTTTGAGAATATTACTTACCTTTTCTGAGCATATTTCCTCAACTTTAAGATAAAAATAATGGTAATATCTGTCTCACAGAGTTGTTACAAGGATTAAATGAGATAACAGAAGCCAGAAAATTGCTTGGCCCACTATCTGATACGTAGTAAATGCTAAAAGGTAGATATAATTAATCTAAAATATTTAAAAGATTATATTTATACTATGTCACAAGAATAGATGTGTTTCAATTTATTTGCTTTTTATTTTTCATGACTATCAATCATAATAGCAGCTGTATAAAAGCACAAATTATATAAAAACACTTACATGATTGTTTTAGCTGTTCATCTGCTTTTTGTGGATAAATTGGGTGCCATGTATAATCAATTGTAAGCATGACACTTGGGACAGTCCAGCATTCAACCCAACCAGCCCTTTGAAGAGTAAAACAGACAGTTTCTAGTCAGATACTTATTCCTTTAATTGTACAGATATCAGTTGCAGATAATCAAATTTTATTATTATTTTTTGAAAGAAGAATTTCTCCACATACAAGCACAAAATACTTGTCACTAATTTTATTTTGTTTTATTAATTTATTTTTTGAGATGGGGTCTCTTTCTGTTGTTCAAGCTGGAAGGCAGTGGTACAATCTTAGCTCACTGCAACCTCCGCCTCCTGGGTTCAAGCGATTCCCCTACCTCAGCCTCCCACGTAACTAGAACTACAGGCATGCACCATGATGCCCAGCTAATTTTTGTATATTTAGTAGAGACAAGGTTTCACCATGTTGGCCAGGTTGGTCTCGAACTCCTGACCTCAAGTGATCCACCCACCTCAGCCTCTCAAAGTGCTGGGATTACAGGCGTGAGCCACTGTGCCTGGTCTGTGTCACTAATTTTATGTACTCACTTTTCCTGAGTAACGTTGCGCCATTTTGGTTTAACTGTTTTCTGACCACTTTGACACTCAGCAGGAATACCAGTATCATGAATCATCTTATTTGGGTGGCAATTTCTTACCAGCATAAATAAAGAATATTTACTAGGGTGGCAATCTGGTAGAAACAAATGAAGATCAACATCTTCTCCCTAAAAAATAATTATAATAAGCCAAAGTAATAACATCAGTGCATAAATATGTTGGTTAATACGGGCAAAACTGTCTACAACAATTTTCGAAATAAGTTTGAAAGAATATAAACAAATTTTATTTATTTTTATTTTATTGTATTGTTAGTTTTTGTTTTAATGGTCTCACTCTGTCACTGAGGCTGGAGTGAAGCCTCGAACCCCTGCACTCAAGTGATCCTCCCAAGTAGCTGGGACGAGAGGAATGTGCTATTATTTTTTTTTTTTTTTTTTTTTTGTAGAGACAGGGTCTTGCTGTGTTGCCAAGGCTAGTCTCAAACTCCTGGCCTCAAGCAACCATCTTGCCTCAGGCTCCCAAAGTGCTGGGATTACACAAGTGAGATAAACAAATTTGAAATCGCAGATTTTACATTCAACAGTCAGGTAAATAAGGAATAAGATTTTACATCGACTAAAACTAAGTTTGTATTGAAAAACAACAAAATAATCAGGGAAAGAAACAGTATAGTTTCCAAACAGTGAAAAGAATGTCTTCCATGGGTAATCACAGATTTTTTTTTTATGAAGTTCAGCTTTTAAAAAAAACTTTTATAAGCTCAGGTATACTATGTTCTATATTTTTATTAATTTTTAAAATAGTATTATCTCATTTGATTCTAGTAAGTCTTGTTTCCTCAGCTGGCTTTCAATAATTCAGAACTGGCAAATCAATGGATCTTCACTTGGCTTTACTTTTTTCCTTATAGGTCTTCTATTCTTTGTTCATCTTGATGACTAGTTTCTTAACAGGCAGCAAGGTAGACTGGTTAAAAGAATGGAGCCCTAAGCTATATTGCCCAATACCTCACTAGCTATATGATGAGTTACAAAAGCTCTGTTCTTCACTTTCCTAATGTATAAATGCAGGTAATAATAATCTCAAGAGGGTTGTTCTGAGAATTACATGAGTTACTACATAAAGCACATGGAATAGTGTCTATGTAGTACACAGAAAATGTTTAACAGATGTTAGCTGTTTCTATTATGTTGCTAATTTTACCAGTATAACCACTATTAATACTACAAGTACTACTGGTTGCCCATACCAAAAAATTATATGTTCCATAAAATTTTGAGCTTAGAAGTACAGGCATCCAGATAAAAGGAAGAAAGGTACTGTGGTTACTCCTTGAATTCATGTTTACAATTAAGAATCAAATAAAGGGAAGTATAAAATTAGTTCATATGAATTAGTAAACATTAGAGCTAGAAGGGCTAACATATAGATTAGCCACAGATATCAGAAATGAACTCTAAGAAAATAGTCAACTTGAGATATTTTTAATTGCCCAATTTCTTAGGTACAGTTAACTACAAAAAGAAAACAGCAGGAACTCTGACACTAGAGGTAGTAGACATCGGAGGAAAGCTAAAATACCTTGAAGTGGCAATGGACTGGGTAGGGGGAGTAAAGATAAGCTTTGGGAAATCAAACTAACTAATACACCTTGTGGAATAATAAAGGATTCAACTATACATACTCTTAAAGAGAACTTGGTATTACACGTAGCTGGAACAAAGTCCGTAAAAGGCAAAGAAAAATCAATGTTTAGTGTTTCTCCACAGGCTGCCAGATACACTACAAAAAAAAAAAAAAGAAGAAGAAGAAAAAGTAAATTTACTTTTAATGTCCATAAAATTTCAATTATAAAATTGTCTAAAATGTGCAACTAAACAAAATTAAGTTTTAGTCCAATACAAACTCTGAAACAGTCCTCTGAGAGTCTCACAAAGATAATGGGGAGAAACAACTTCTAGTATCTGTTAAAACTATCAAATCAATACTAATTTTCTTAGTTGGTATTTGCCTTAATGAGAGAAATACTTAACCTAATTTTTTAAATGTCTTACCATTTTCCTGTTGTTTAGTGGAACAGTCGATCCAATTGTGTTGATTAGCAGCCCAAATCATTTCAAACTGATGAAACATGATTTTAAAATTCCACGTATATGGAACAAATGAAAAAATGTCTGGAGGACTATCACTAGACCAGTCTTGAATTAAATCTAAAATTATTGGGGTAGTGAATAGAAATTGTAAAGTTAGTTGAAACTCAGAAAAGAAAAACACAGATATCCTAACACCAGTCAAAAATGAATTTTTCTTTTGATTGAAATATTTAAAAGGTGATTAGGATGTATTTAAATAATTTGACAGTGAACAGATGTTTACTTACCAGTCATAGTTCCAAATAAGAGAAATTTTATATATTAATATATCTATTTTTAAGGAATTTTAGAAAATTTAAAAAAAAAAAATCACCTGATATTCCACTACCCAAATAGCCAACATTGCAGATACATTTTCTTCCAGTTATTTTTCTACACAGACTGACACTATCCTATATGAACATTTTTTATGTGTTGCTTCTTTCACTGAACTCAAATATTATTCTGTGTTATTTCACACGTTTACATAAATTTTGCATAATAGCTCATTAATAAGATTTGTCAGGACCTACTTAACCATTTTTTATAGTTGGATATTTATACTCTTTCCAAATTTTTGTGTTATATATATTACCATGTACTATATATTTTTGTAAAAAATATTTTACATATTCAGGATTGCTTGTCAGTAAAGATTCTAGAAGTGGAATTGCTGGGTCAAAATTTAGGAATATTTTTCGAGACTACCATAAATTGCATTAGAAGAGAAGTGAGTCCATTTACACTCCTACCGGAAATGTATGCTTGACTACCTATTTCACTGAACTTTCTCCTGCATTCTATCTCTTTCTATCATCTATCTGTTTTTTGTTTTGTTTTACTTGACATTTAATAACTGGAAAATGGTATCTTGCTTTCACTGAGCTCCTTAACTACAAGCATGGCTGAACATTTTTTCATGTTGTTTTATTCATTAAACAAATATCTACTGAGTGTCTACTGTGTGTCAGGCTCTGTTCTAGACTCTAGGACTACAATGGGTGAAGGAAACATAGACTTGACTTTCTTAGAATTATAATCATATTTGTTCATTGCCATTTCACTGTATGTTTAAACTGCTTTTATTATTATTATTATACTTTAAGTTCTAGGGTACATGTGCACAACGTGGAGGTTTGTTACATATATATACATGCGCCATGTTGGTGTCCTGCACCCATTAACTCGTCATTTACATTAGGTACATCTCCTAATGCTATCCCTCCCCCACCCCACCACAGGTCCCAGTGTGTGATGTTCTCCTTCCTGTGTCCAAGGGTTCTCATTGTTCAATTCCCACCTATGAGCGAGAACATGCGGGATTTGGTTTTCTGTCCTTGTGATAGTTTGCTGAGAATGATGGTTTCCAGCTTCATCCATGTCCCTACAAAGGACATGAACTCATCCTTTTTTATG